AGACACATTGTAATACAAGGTGTAAATGGAATGAATTTTTCTTGTGGCTGCAAACAAGACACTCAAATGGATTCAAGATGGGCCCACAATAGTCAAGAAAAAAAAAATGAAAGCACACATTCCTAAGTGGCTAAAGAATTCTTTGCTATAGCTGTAAACATGCCATCCCTCTTTCCACTCCACTTTAGCTTCTCCATGACATCCTCTGCTGAGCGGCTTATTAGCATGATGCTAATGAGGTTTTGTATGGTTATTGTGGAGGAGTGACACTGGCTCTGCTGAGAGGGCCCCTCTCATTAGACCACACCGCTGTCAGACAGCCTCGCTAACCTCCCCCAACAGCGGGGATTTCGTGTTCATTAAAGGTCAGATGTCGCCTAATATCAGCGGCAGAGGCTCTGTGACATGACAGTTACCGTGGACCCCTGCAGAGTGTGTGGTGTGTGTGTGGGAGGAAGAGGGTTTTGTTTGTGTTACAAAAGCACAGCTCTGATCCTCTAAATTGACAAGAAGTTTAATTTTCTGAGTCACAAGATCAAGGTTCCGTGGTCAGAGGGTAATGTGAGGCTGAGCTAAAATGGCAAGAGAAGGGGTAAGCGATTAATGATCATTTATTTGGCGGAAATGTGAGAAAATGAGCCAGTATACCACCATCAGTAATTCTGTTCCTGCTACCTAGGCTGGTTTGTGACACTGAGTGTGCGTGTGTGTGCAAATATATACACATGGAGAGCATGCGTATAAACTTAGTGTGTGTTATTTTACATCGTACCCCATCATCTCTCTGCCTTTTCCAAATATTAACAGTTGAGACAGCGGGGGGTGGTGGGGATGAGTTCCTCCATTGCTTTCTGCTTCGCATCATTACATTCAATCTAAATCCCCGTCTATTAATCCAACCACCCACAGACACACACACCGCAGACACTCCCACCACGTTCACTCATGTCAGCCCCAAAACGGGCTTCAGTTGTAATCCACTTTTATTAGATTTCTTTGCTGGTCTCACATGCTGTTAAACTGCGCTGCTACAAAGGGAGCTCTGGGTAGTCAACAACTTTGCTTATACTTTAGACATTTTAACAAACACACTAGGAGGAGGGGAAGCAGTGCTGGAAGTTTCCACCACAGACAAGATTTTATTTAAATTCTGGTAAGAAGTAATGGTGCACCAATTCAAATTGATGGATTGGCTTTGGGGCCGATACTGACCATAATAAGGGGATCAGGTATCGGTCAGTTACATTGACTCAGTTATGGTGGGTCGCAGACTCCACACAGCCATCTCTGGTCATTACATTACTTAAAATACATATCTTAAATTTGTGAAAAAGAGAGTACTAGTGTGAATTTGCAATAGCTGCGGTCACCTTTGCGCATGTGTTCATTGCATTTACACACTTGATGTCCATGCCAAATTTCAGCCTCCTAGGGTGAAAACTGTGGCCGCCAACTGTGTGCACCAACCGACCAACCAACTGACACAGCTTGCTAAAGAACCGCAGCTAAAAAGTTGGATTGGTGCATTCCTAGTAAGAAGCAGAGAGAAGGATACAGCTCCCAGTCCACGTTCTTTACTTCATTGTTGGAATTTTGTCACTGGTATCAGGTTAAGTCACTTTGTACTGACAGCAGGGCCTTGAGGAGACGGCCATTTGCCAATGGCACTATGTCTGAGCCAATCATAGGGCAGTCTAGGAGCCCAGAGTCCAAAGACTAGAAAGGCGCTATATAAGTACACTCCATTTACCATTTAGGTATTATATACTTCCCTGAGCAAGAGTCTACAGCCACCCAGGAGAGTGCAGTACTAATTATAACAAAAACCATAAATGTCTATTCCAAATTGCAAATGTGTGGATGTCACAAACCAGTTGGTGAATGTGAGAAGGTTTACCAGCTTGAGAGAGAAAATAATTGAAAGATAAGACTTCCAGTTTGCTCAGTAATTGAATGTTTTCCCATTATTTTGTTTCATATATTTGACACACTGTGAGTGGCGGTATAATATGCCCTCATGAGACACTTCATTCAAATTTCCTCATTACTGGATGTCTTATAGGCCAGGAAAGTTGAAGATGTGGCTTTAAAGGAAAATCTACTATTACATATTAAGGGAAATGTTGCTAACTATGTGTTTTTAAGGGGTTAGGGAGGTACCTTTCACTTACGTTATATATTTCAGTGAAAGATGTTATACAACATAGAAACACTGGCTTGTCAAGTAGTTGTAAAAAGGAAGTTAAGTGAGTGTGAGTGAGGTGGCCCTAAGACCATTTTATATTAAGTTGCTCTCGCTGACATAAGATGCGAGGTCGCCTGGAAGTACACATCAGGTGGGGTTCTAGTTATATATGCAACTTCAGGATCTCAATTTGAGTAAAAACAGGGAGCAAATCAATGGATTTATGGGTGAAATCTCACATTTTAAGGCCTCTACAGATGGTTTATGAAATTAAATTCATTCATGGAACAAACGTCTGTTCCTCTCAAAATGCCACAAATGTCTACAAATGGAAACAATGTGTCTGTTATAACAGCTGTTGAGGTCATTACTTTGAGATGTTATTATCTATATCTATGTACTATGGGAGGATGATTGCATTAGGGGTGTCAAGAGGACATGCTACAGAGTGCCTGCTGGTGAACACACAGCCTGCAGCTACACCTGCCTCAACACATCATTAGAGATACATAAAAGACATAAAATGACTAATGTAAGTCAGAAAAACTGCATCTGGCCGCAAGTTGAGATACATTTTTAGTAGACTGTGCGCCGCCCAAGGGAGAATTTAGAAGGGCTTAGTTGGGGAAAGACTTTCCAGAACGGGCAAGACTACAGTTTAATCTTGTGATGCAGAGAAACTATTGCCACTGATGAAATAAGCTCTTACTGAAGTCCAATCTAGTACTGGTGAGGAAGGAAGCAGAGAAAAATGAGGAGAAGAGGAAGCCCTGTAAAAAGCACAGACTTCAAATGCCTCTGACAACTCTGCTTACAGCAAGAAGGAAGAAGGGGTTGAGGGAAAGTAAAAAGGCAAATGGAGGAAATTAAGTGTGAAAGAGGAGGAAACAGAGCATGGAATATAGAAGAGGGAGGTAATGAACTAAATAATAAACTAAACTTTTAGGACTCACCAAATTGTCTTGTTTTTTTTGCAGTTCC